CCTGACAAAAAATAGGCTCTTAGAAGTTGATTTACTTGCACAGGAATGCGCTTTCCAAAATTTGCTTTTTGCAATCCAGTTCAAAGCAATTCATTCTAAAAATTTTAAAATTCGCCTAGAAAATATTAATTTTTTTCCTATTTATAGTTCACTTTATATGATGGACCATTTGACTTGGAAAAAAATGCCTGTTATAATAATAATTTATATATGACATATAAATTTGGGCTTAGATTTTCAGTCCATTATGGCTAGAGTGAGAACCTGTTATAAACAAATAATAATTTATATATGGACATGTGAATTGGTCTTAAATTCTTGGTCCGTTTATTATTATATATAGGAAGATCTGTTATATATAGGGAGAGAGTGTGAATTTATTCATTTTTTTAACTGGTTCATCCTTCATTCCCCAGGTGGCATCATTATATGACGTTTTTCGTTTTGTACATTATGATTGATATGGATAGTGTATTGTTCAACACTGCAACTTGGGAATGAACTTACAAATTCTCATAGGGAGATAAGGGGAATATTTATTTAATTATACATATATTACCTTTTGATTTTGTTTAGAGTTTCTTCTCTGATCTGCTTTCAGAGGAATATTTAATTTTTTTTTAAAGAATTGGTTGGTTTGTGTTCGTGTCACGTTAGATAAATAAAAATTATCAAAAAAAAAATCTTGCAAAAATATTTTTACCATGTTATTTTGGTTTACATCAAAATTTAAAAAACTACCTTTTAAACAGTCAAAAACGCCATCATTGATTAGAAGTAGTCATGAAAGAAAACAGAAAATTCCTGTGGAATTATTGAAACCAGATCCAAAGCTTGGAAATCCAGGTTGCAAAGAAAAATAATAAAATTATTATTATTATTATTTTTGTTGAAAAGAAAAGTAATTGTTTAAATTAGCAATAATAAATATTATATTGTATTATTATCTATGATGATGTTTTACTTTTTTTCACTTTTCACTTTATTGAAAGTACAGGTGATGTAGTTTATGTCTGGCCAGGTCAGTTTTCTCATTTATTATATTATTTCAAATTTAAGGAATGAAATTGGTAAATGTGTTATTTTTTTAAAAAATATAAATGGTCAATGGTGCCAATCTCTAATCATGATAAATATAATTATAATTATAAAGGTTATATGAGACATGCTTTGTTCCCTAAAAGAATGGCCAATTATTACATACTGGAAGGAAAAGTAAAGAAAACTTTGCAGAGTCCGGAAGAAATGTATAAATTGTTTTCTGGAGGACATATTACTCTTGCATTACTAGGAAAATCATATGATGTACGTAACAAAGAAATAAAGATGAACATATAATATATTTTTTATTTATCAAAGATGATTGTTATTAATAAAAATTATTTTATACTTTACATTTATCAAAGAGGAAGGAAAAAAATAAAGAAAAATTAGAATTTCTCTTAAAATATTTCCATGACTTGTTGACGAAGCTTTCTATACTAAATCACATTCCTACAATAACTTTTGAATGTCAATTGGCAAATGCTGCTCGTAGTATCACCGAGTTGAAAAGACCTTTAAAATTAGAAGAAGTTTTAGGGAAAATTCAAGAATATGGTGATATTGTTATTGACAAAAGTAATGCAAAATGGCAGAATATTGATTCAAATGAAATAATCAGAATTGGAAAATATGTTTGTTTGATTTCAGTTAATGAAGTTAATAAAACTGTACCAATTAAGGTGGAGGTTAATCCTTTGATAGAAGAAGAAATAAAGTTAATCGATTAACATCTTGGCATTAACATATTATTATTATACGTGATATGTGATACACAATCAAAATTTAACATACAAAATATCCAAAAGGGCTCAAAAATTACAATCAAAAGGTTTTATTTCTTTTTGTGTTCAACAACATTTAAATAAACTATTAAAATCAAAGTTAACCTTCTCCTTCATTTAAAGAAAAAGACAAATGAAACAATGATAGTAAGTAGTAGTAGTAAAGCTTGAACAAAAATCCATTGATGACTTTAAAAATTATTTCTTTCATAATTCATCAAAGTGAGGTTATCTCAATTCAGTGATCAAAAAATTATTGGGCTTTGTTAAATGACACTTTTTTTTTTCGATCTATGTAAAATTTTTATTATAAATAATTCATTTTGATAATTAATTCCATTTAGTCCATGATGTCATTTTTGCCATAATATCTATCAACTTTACCATCACTTAAAAAAAAAATTAATTTTATTTCTTTTAGAACAAAAAATTCAATCTATTATATTTATTCATGACATTTTAAACAATTGAAATCAAAATGAAAGAACATCTAGCAAATCCCAAGGAGGGGATTTGCTCACTTGCATACTTTCAAAGTCACATGTGGCAATGTTAGACCCAGAGTTTTGTGTGTAAACTGTTAAAGCAAAAATGATCTGGATCCATTAGCATGAATAGAATGTATTTACAAATTTCTGAGCAAACATTGACTTTTTCAGTCATTGATTTCTCATGGATTTTGCATGGTGGATTATACCATGATTCTCTTGTTAAGGTTTCATTTTTGGTATTATTAATGTTGTAGTTGTAGTAATATGGTGATGTTGGTGGAAGTGAAAGTAACCATGTTCTAGGTATTTTCATAACACATAATGCAATAAAGCATTTGAGTGGAAAGTGTAAGGCATACCTATTGAAATTGACACAATCATCACTACAATATTGTACTAGAATCGTTATAATCCTATTTTTCCCTATACTTAAAGGTTATGTTTCCATTTTAAATTGTACTTTCAGAACTACCGACAGACTCAAATTTAGAGGAGTCTAACTCATCTCACCAACCCACTCACTTGTCAGGTGGTGATCCGGGGTGGTAATCTAAACCTGGTCATGTAACAAACAGAATCTTGAGCACTCGCAGGGCTAGTCTGGATGCCGAGCATCCAAATATATTCCTTTGCAGGCATTTGGTTTATATGTTAATGGGGCTAATGGGTAATCATGGTATAATATGGTAAGGTTTTAGCATGCACCAACAGAAGATTGAGGCTAAGCGATTGTTATTATTAAATAATTTATTTATAGGCAAAAGTAACTTTCCATGGAGGATACAATTTATACTAATAAATTCACAGACATTAGTTTCAGATACTGTGAATGGAGGCGCCTGTGACAATTTTTGGTTATGGCGGCATGCTCCCATCTTGGGATGGACGAATTTCAGATCAAGCTGTAATAAACTTGGAATGAACATTGATCATCCACGTGAAGCTGCAAAGTTATTCTATCTCCGGAAAATGGCCGGTTAATTTAACTGGTTAACCATCATTTAATTTTTATTATTACAGTCAAACCTCATCACAACAGATTTAAGTATTAGCCCCTTTTTTATTAATATTAACGTTAATATTAATTAAAAATGTTTGTCTTAATGGATTTTATTAATATTAATAATTAATATTTAATGAAAGAATATGATGAATTTAATTTAGTGTGACATATTTAAAAAGGAGATTTTTGGCCATTTTTTCATATAGAATTTGTTTAAAAAGGAATTTTTCAAAAAAAAATTGTGTTACGAAAATGTATAGAGTAGTTAAAGTTAAGCACTGCCAAATTTTTTTTTAACAGATGAAAGTTCTATTTATAATAAAAGAAAGAAAAGATGTCGGACCAATAAAAAAAAGCTTAATCTGACTATGAATTACATCCCTTCTGTCCTTTGATTTATATAATAATAGAAAAACTTATGTTTAAATAATTAAAGCCATGTTAAATTTTCAACATTTTAATTAATTTATAAAAATAAATTTCTTAAAATAGAATTAAACTTTAGTTTAGGAAATGCCTTCTAAATCCAAGTAATAAAAATGAATATAAAATGAATGAATGTTAATTGATCAAATTCATAATATTCTTTTATTAAAAAAAACCATATCATCCATTTTTTTATATCTACATGCTTCATTAAGACTGTCTTTTCCACTGACAGTGTAATTAGTGGAAGCCAAAAAATTGAATCAAATTGCTGGCCATTTGGGCCATATATAAAACAAGCCCAACCATGTTGTTGAATGTTGATGAAGAACATATTTGCTGATGAACAAATATACATTGCAATGAGCTGAGCTCCTTTGTTAAAAAACTTAAATATTCTCAGTTTTTGATGGGTCCCACCCAATCGATCGACAGACATTATACCGACAGCCGTTATACCGACAGGACGTTTTACTGACAGGACATTATACCGACAAGATATTATACTGACAGGACGTTATACATCAGGAAATTAAAATGTACATAAAACCGTGTAAATCTTTACGCTTACATAAAAATTATGCAATTTTCGTGTAACTTTTATGCAAATCTCACTTAAAATTTACATATGCATTTAATTACACATAAAATTACACATTTAATTTTTTATAAAATTTGTACATGTAAAATTTCACTCATAACTGTTTTATATAAATTACACATGTAAAATTACATTTGATAATTTTATAAAAAATTTACACATAAAACAAAGATTGCATTCAATAATTTTATCTACAGTCAAACCCTCGTTTCAACAGACCTCATTTCAACGGATTTTTGTTTCAACGGATTTTTAGTTTTACCCCTTGATTTTATTAATTAATGTTAAAAAATTCTCATTTCAATGGATTTTATATTTAAATTGCGTTTCAACTGGCAACGGATTTTTTGGTAGGATTTTAGTAATAAGTACTAATCGCATTACAACGGATTCATGTGATATAGATTTTATAAAAAAAACCACATTACTATGTTAAGATTAATTCATTGTTAAATAATAATATAAACTCTCAAAAATATCAATATGATTTTACATGAATAATTCTCACATTGCTAAATAATAATATTAATCAAAAATTTTCCATATTTCTAAATAATAATTTTACATGAATAATTAAACACACATTGCTAAATAATAATATTAATCAAAATGCGTAACCAAAATAAAAAATAAAATAATAATAAATACGACGAATGACTAGACATTATAACTCAAATTCTAAAAAACAAGCAAAAAAAAAAGCAAATTTTCATGAGAAAGAATCTAATGTAGATGTTAATAAAGCTTCTAATTCAAATATGATGGAGATAGATGCAAATGCAACAAATGCACTTCAAACATTTGCAACATCAACAAATGCATCTATTATTAATACAAAAGAACCAATTTCACCTCATTCTATTGAAGACTCATCAAACACATTTAATGATAATGGAAATTCAGGTTCAAATGTGGAGGACAACAAGATGACACAAGAGTGGGTAGTTGTCAATAAATACACAAATTTTTGAGCAGCAATTTTAATTGATCAAATACCAAGTAAAAATAATATTAATAAAAAAAAATTTGTTGAAAAATTTTTGATCAATTATAAAGGGTTTGTGGGTCTCTACATTACCAGATTTGGCAAACAAAGGAAATTTGTTGCTAACTTCGATAATGAAGAGGATCTTAATAACCTTGTTGTCACAGACTTACCTGATTATGAAGGTATCCGTTTCTCTAAAGAACTTGCACCAGTTGGAAACATTAATAAAGAAAATTCAATAAGAGTTAAGAATATTCCACTTAATACAAGTTCAACTTTAGTACATGCTACTTTTGAAAAATATGGAAAAATTATTAAATTCTCTATGCAAACCAAAGACTTATGGCAAGAAGCCATAATTTATTTTGAAAAAAAGGAAGATATTTTACCATTTCATAATGAAACATGGGCAGTCTTTATTCTAAAAGATATGGTTAGAGTAGAACCATTAAGCATGAATGAAAAACAATATGAAAAAAGACATTTACATGCCCTCAAACTTGGTCACCTCCCTTTTGGAACTACAGCAAGAGATCTTGTTGAAATAATCAATGCAACAAAAGCAAAGGCAATTTTCATACCTAAAACACGCAAATCATATGTCAACTGTAGATATGGATGGTTTTTCTTTGATTCTGATGAAGCAGCACATGATGCACAAATTAATTGGTATACTCTCAATAATACTGAATTATTTTGGGCATCAGAAGATACTGCACTCTGTAGAAAATGTGGACATCCTGATCACACTATTACAGGTTGTCAGGAAATTCAATGGGCAAAACAAAAAAAATCAATATATCCAAATTGCAACCTTTGTACAACAAATATAAACCTGCTCAACATCGTAAACCACAAACACACCCACCTGCAAATAAATCAAAAGAATTATCATTTGCAGATGTTGCAAAAAACAGTATTAGGACATCTCTTGATGATTCCATTCATGCTGAAAAAATAGGTAACAAAACAGAAGATGTTTTAAAAAAACTTATGGAAAAAGTTGAAGATATATCAACCAAACTGAATCATCTTACTCAGAATATTCAGGAAATCAATATCAGAATTAAAGTACTTGAGGATAAAGACAGTACTAAACCTAAACAAGGAAATACAGATCCTTATATAACTGTATGCACCCCCATCTTGAAAAAACCCACATACAAACCTGGAATTTCTAATTCTCACAAGAGATCTAGAGAATCATTTACATCTTCATCTGAAGAAAGCCAAGCTTCAACAACCAAAGTTAACAAAAACACTGATGAAAGTCAATTGATTGTTAAACAACAGGAAGAACTAAATAAAAATGCAAAAAATCTTTCTCAAGACATGGCTGACATCAAAAATATGATTGGCAATATTTCATCCAAATTCATTAATAAATCTAATAATGATGAGGATGATGTAAGTTATTAAACAATTGGTTATACCATCTCGTAAATCTAAAATAATTTAATAATGAATATAAACAACAAAAACAATAATCAATTTAATATTAATAATGATAATAACGAAAATTCAATGAATAATATTTCAAATCCACATACAAATAATATTCCTATATTTACATCACAACTTATTCGAATTGGAACACAAAACATCCGAGGAATAAATGACTCACATCTACAAACTATAGTCAAAACACTATGCAAAGATAACCAAATGGACATAATTGGTATATCTGAAACCAAACTCAACCGTAACAACTCTAAACATTGTATGAGAAAATGTAATACATTTCAATCTTTTTGGAGCTCACACCCTGACCAGCCTAACTCAGCTGGTGTAGGTCTTCTTATTTCAAAATCATTAGCTAGACATATAGTAAAAATTGAAAAATATCAAGGACGCATAATATATGCTGACTTATATTTTAAAGGAAAGAAAAAATTACGAATTATTCAGGTTTATATCAATTCTAATACCAACAAAAAACAAGAAAGAATTACAACTTCAAAACAAGTAATTAAATATTGTCAAGAGGCATTAAACAAAAATTTTTTTACAATTGTAATGGGTGACTTCAATGCAGACCCTGAAATTCTTCATAATTTGCAGATTAATAATCATACTATACCTTACACATATAATCTGATTTCAACATTACAAACTTTAAATTTTATAGACAGTCTTAAAATCACAAATCCAAACTCACCTCAATACACATGGTCTAATAATAACTCAAAATCACGTATAGATCAAATTTGGATTTCGCATAATTTTGCTCATGATCTTGCTCGCACAAAAACTGTTGATTATACATCAATTTTTTCAACAGACCATAAATTAATATGGTGTGATTTAATAACTTCTAATTTCTACAAACATCGTTCCGATAATAATGAACGTAAATTAGACAACAAAAAGAAAATTTATAAATTTGAGAAAATGACAAATGAAAAATGGCAAAATTTTGCATCACTTACTGATAAGAATTTAGAAAGACATTGGGATTATAACCAGTGTATAAATAATTTTCAACCTACATGTTCTTGGTTAAATAGATCATGGACCATACTACAGCAAATAATTATCCAAACTGCTGACAAAGAAATACCATTTGATAAAATTAGCAGGAAAGATAGTAATAAAAGATCCAAAGATACTTTGATATTACATAAATCCCTTAAATCATTTGGTCGTTTACTTCAACAATTTCTTCAAATCAAAAATCTTGTAAATATAAATCAGTGCAATACCATGTGGAATGATATAAAAAAGAACATTACCAAGATTACTCAAAACCTTGAAATACCTTTAGAAAACCTACCTGATACTTTATATGATAATGTATATGAACAAACATATAAATATTTAATATCTATCTTCAACACCATTAAATCACAGAAGAAAATAGAAGACAAGATTGAAATTGAAAAGCAAATTAAATTTTTCACGAAAAAAAGATGTGAACATTATACATCAAATCAAAAAGTCATGATTAACAGTATTTTAGAACGTGAAAAACAATCTATTAGAATTAATCGTTGCGTAATTAACAAAGATGGTGAAGATGAAATTCTCCTCTTACCTGATGATGTTAAAAAAGCAACTAAAAATCATTTTAGCAGTATTTCAAATAATAATCATACTACACCTAATACATTACCATCTCCATGGTTTAATCAATATAAATCAATCAAACAAATTGATCCCATATGGTATTCAAATTTAATGAACCCTTTAACATTAGTTGAATGGTATTCTATTATAAATACACTCCCAAATGGAAAAGCAAGTGGGCCTTCAGGCATTACAAATGAAATGCTCAAGCACATAGGAAAAACAACTCAACAATTTCTTCTGAAAATAATAAATCAATGTATTACCATCAATGACATACCAGATGCATGGAGAGAGGCAACTGTTTATCCAATACCAAAACCACTGGATTGGGAATTACAATTGAATAATACACGACCAATTACATTACTGGAGACACCAAGAAAAGCATTAGTGAAAATTATAAATAATAGAATATCAGAAATAGTAATGAAGCATAATATTTTAAAAGGATGTAACTTTGCAGGACTTCCTGGAAAATCCACACATGAGCCAATACATATTCTCAATATGTTGATGGAAGATGCTCGTGAGAACAATAAAGAAATGTGGGTTTTATTTCAAGATATGAGCAAAGCATATGATCTGGTTAATAGAGATATGTTACAACTTGCTCTTAAAAGAATTGCACTACCTAATTCATTCTGCAAATTCATCCATAACATTTTTAACAAAAGAGTAAATAGAGTTGTTACAGAATTTGGACTCACTGATCAATACACTATCAACAATGGCATTGATCAAGGTGAAGTAATTTCACCTCTCATGTGGTGTATATACTATGATCCTTTACTCTGCGAGATTCAAAATCAAAAATCACTTGGATATCAAATAGAAGTTGAATGGAAACAAGACCTTCGATATAATGAAACCACCAAACTTTCTGAAACAATATCAAGTCTTGCATATATGGATGACACAACTTGGTTTGCACCATCCAAAGATAATATGGAACTAATTCTAGAAATTGCAGATTCATTCTATGATCTAAATGGCATTAAAGTAAATAAAAAGAAATCAGAACTTTTAGTTATAAATTCACCTACACCAATTCCTTCAACTTCCATTATTTTTGGAAAAGATTGTACAGAGGTTTTTGCAAAGCCAATCAACACATCTATTAGATTTCTAGGTGTATGGGTTAATGCAAAAGGGTCAACTAGACATGTTAAAAATTCTGTGCATGATGAAATTATCAATATGGAATCAATTATGAAACATAAACACCTTACTGATAAACAAATCTTATATATTTTCAATCGTGTAATGATTCCTAGATTAGAATATCGTCTACAACTTACATTGCTGTCTGAAAATGAATGTAAAATTTTAGGAGCAAAATGTAGAAAATTATTCAAACAAAAGGTTGGCCTTGCATCTACTGTTCCTAATGCAGTTACTAATACACATACAATATATAATCTTTGTGATTTATGGGATTGTCAAGTACAACATCACATAACCAACCTGTGTGTTCGCCTAAATGACAATGGAATTATGGGTAAAATTTCTAAAATCAAATTACATCAATTACAACTCAATTTGTGTTTGCCTAAAAGTCCATTGGAGTCTTGGAATTATTCAGTTTCTCATCTTCGTTTATTTAAAAATAATCTTATGGCTGGCATCTTATGCATAGCAAAATTTTTCAAATTCTCACTTAGAACAACATATGATTCTGAGTCTTTCATAATTAAAGGTGGACAAATTTTACTACAAGATATTTTTGCTGAAAAATATACATCATTTGTAAATGCACTGGCTAAAAAACAAGTATTATATCTTGATCAAATCCTCTGTTGTGAAGGTACACATTTACTTTCTTGGAAACAAGCAGTCTTACGTTTAAAAATTAATATACGTGGTCGAAAACCAAAATGGTTTTCATCATTAGAAGAATCTATCCTACATCACTCATCTCGTGAAGTTCTAGATCAATGGAAACTACCTAGATGCAACTCATTCCCTATACAATATTCACTTAATTTTCCAAAAGACTCTAGAATCAGGCCTTTCATTGCAACCTACCAATTTGAAGAAATAACCTTTGGTAAGACATATGAACTAGCTTCACCAAAAAACAACAATCAACTTATCATCACTCATTGGAAATCAAATACCAACATATTAGAAAACAATCATGATAGTTTTCAACTAAGTCAATGTAAAGGATGTGAACTAAACAACCTTATAAATAATCCAAATAGAATTGGTTGTTTATACAATAAACCACAGAAAGAATGTATTGTCATACCAGCCAAGAAATGTATTTCTTCTGGATCCAATATCATCACCATAACATTTCCTAGATGCGAAATCATAAAGGCTTTAGAATACAACTTTGATAAATTCAATAATAATAATAATATTATTATTCCAATATGTCCAACAATATATATTGAAGATAACAGACTAACATGGATAAAGAATATTATAAATGAACCAATATCATTACAATTATTCAATATTCACATGATAAATAATTGCATTAATCAATTAGAATTTTGGACTGATGGATCCCTAAAAAATCCTAGCTCTCCTGATATTAAATTAGGTTATGGTTGGATCCAAGTTGATAAGAATAAAAAAATTACTAACTCTTTTTCAGGTGCGCTGTCACAATGGCCATCATCAACACGTGCAGAAATCTTTTCTCTACTTACAGCAATTCTAACATGTCCAGCAAATAGTATTATAAATATATACTTAGATTCACAAGCTACTATTGATGGTTTTAACAATTGGAAACAAAAATCAAAAACCATTAGATCCTACCTTAAAATTAATAATTTTTCTTTATGGGAAATCATTTATTCAACAATGGAAAAATATAATTTAATAGTAAATTTAACAAAAGTTAAAGCTCACTCCAATAAATATCCTCTCAATGACACAGCTGACTCACTAGCCAAATTGGGATGTAGCAATAATCAAATCACAAAAATAAATATCAATAACATAACTAAAAAATATGTTACATTATATTGGAAGGAGTTTCTAATAGATTACCATTGTAGAAATTTCATCAAACAAATATGCAAAGCAAAGCGATTAAATTCTTGGATATCTCTAAATCGGTTTCAACCATTTTTCACTGAGGAAGAAATACAAAAAATAGAGTGGAGGTGCACATGGTTATCTTTAAGAACCAGTTTCCCTTCCTCTACATCTTTCAAAGACAGTAGATGGAAAGCCTTCAAAATCAAACTATTACATAATGAACTACCAGTATTAGAAATTTTAAAGAAACGTAGATCTGATTTATATGGGAATTTTACAAATTGTCCTAGGTGTAATTTAGCTCCAGAAGATTATGATCATTTATGGTACTGCAAGAATTCAAAAGATGCAGTTAAAACAATTAACAAAAAAATAATTGAATTCATTCAATCACTTTTGGATAATAACCATAACCATAACAATAATAATATCAATCATATAGATAGACAAACAATAATGTGTGAAATATTTCCTTATTTCAACAACCCTACATCTTGTATACTTTTTATGAAAAATTTCACAAGAGGCTTAATTTCAAGAAGCATAATACATAGTTTTACATGTATCATAAACTCAAAATCCAAGGGGAGGAAAGCAGCTCTGGATTTGTTAAATATAGTCCAGGAAGCTTTCTTTGAAAAAATTTGGAAGCCTAGGTGTGAGGAAATCATTGAATGGGAACATTCAATTGGGATAACAGTTAAAAAAAAGAAAAATTACACAGAAAAATGTTCTCAAGCCACTTCATCCAATTCTCAGAATGCTATACATTCTGACAAATGGGAAGAGTGGTGTCAGAATTTCATAATTTTTGGTGCTAAGTGGGAAAATTTTTGCCTTTAGCATGCTATCTTTTGTAGAATTTTTTAGATAAATTTATTCAAATATGTCTAATTAATTTTTTTTTTAAAGGTGGCAGGTTAGCTTTAAATTAACAATAGGTTAATTGGGGTAGGATTACATGTAAAAATTTGTAAATTTTTAATAATGCATTAAATTTTAAATAAATAAACGTGATTTCAAGGCCTCACTTTAGCAAAAAAAAAAAAAAAAAAAATAAATAAATTATCATATGCACATAGCAATAAAATAATAATAATCTTTACCAAAACCAAATGGTTAGACCAGAGGTCATGGTCTTGAAGGATTTTCTAAGAAAATGATCCAAGAACTTAGCTTCCCAGGCAAAATAAACATAATACAACTAATTTATTTGTATTTTTCGAGTTTGAACTAAACGGTCTTGACCCGTTGTCAAGTGCAAAAGAATATTGGAGACTAACTTCGAATCACTCAATAGTAGAATATAAAAATATTCAACGATGGCCATTAGTTAAAACACCAAAGGCACGGGTTTTGTCATTGACTCCCTGTTTTAGTCTAATGGTTCATGAAATATTGTAGTAACTTACAAAAAAAGATTTAACACAAAAATTGAAACAGAAACCTGCCCAATAACACAAGTAAATTAGAGACAAACTGTACCAAAGCTTTCATCCATCTTTGCTTTAACAATTGCAAAGTAGGGATCAGTACCATGTTGGCTCATCAATCCAGTCTTAAGCTTCACAAGGTTAGGTCCATCGCGATTTGCAGCCGGGGTCAAAATTGACCAGCATTGAGCGAAATTCTGGTGACGCTTCCTATAATGCTGGCCAATTTTGACCTGGCGTAATAGTAAGTTTTAATTTTCCTGATGAGCTTTATCCCTCCAGAAATTGGGATAAGATGCAATATTTCATCAATGACTTCTTGTCATTCTGTAATTTCTTTCTACCTCTACAAACTTCCTGAGCTGCCCCACGAAAGTATTGCTAATCAAGCCATTAGTTTTATGTTTCTCAAAATACTTTCCAACTTGTAGCTTATGCTGCTTTTACTGAATTATGAAAATAAATCTAGTAATCATTAATATACAAATGTAAATATTTATTTTGTTTTTTGGAGGACAAAAAATTTTTTGAAAATACTTTATTATTATTATTATCATCATCATTGTCATCATTATCATCATTATTATTAATCTAATCATTCTTATTAAAAAAAAGGGTGATCCTATATACAGGACCAGTCCTGTGGCTGAATATACAGGACCTTCCTGAATTGGAAGTGGCACCTATGATCTGCATGTTTTTTAATAGAACCCTTGTTAATTCATATATGTGATGATTAATTTTAGTGTTTTATTTTTGCGAATTTATTTAAAAACTATTACTATCCTGCTGCTTCTTTCTGTACCTAGAAGGCTTTGCGAATCTTTAAGCACATTTAATGGTACCAATAACAATAAATAAATGCAGTCCTCTACAAAGAAACAAAGTCCCCTATAGAGCTTCTATTTTATTTACTTTAATTTTCTTTGGCCAATTGAATTCAACCATATGTTTGTAACAATGAATAACAATATATGACAAATAATTGAATGCTAAAATATAATAATAAACAATTGAAAAGATGAATGAACATCATATACAAGATGGGTCCTGTATATTCCATCTATAAAGACAATATACAGGAGGGTCCTCTATATAATACAGGACCTTATTCCATCTATAAAGAAAAATTATACAGGAGGGTCCTCTATATATAATATGGTACCTTATTCCGTATATAAAGAAAAAATATACAGAGGGGTCCTGTATATAATATGGGTCCTGTATATTCTGTCTATAAAGAAATATACAGGAGGGTCCTGTATATAATATGGGTCTTGTATTTAAGATGAATCCTGTATATTCCATTTATAAAGAAAATATACAAGAGGGTCCTGTATATAATATGGATTCTATATTCTGTCTATAAAGAAAAATATACAGGAGGGTTCTATAAATTTTCTCTATAAAGAAAATATACAGGAGGGTCCTGTATATTCTGCCTATAAAGAAAAAATACAGGAGGGTCCTGTATATTCCGTCTATAAAGAAAATATACAGTAGGGTCCTGTATATTCCATCCATAAAGAAAATATACAGGAGGGTCGTGTATATTCTGTCCATAAAGAAAATATACAGGAGGGTCCTGTATATAATATGGGTTCTATATTCCGTCTATAAGTTCTGTATATTTTGTACAAGATGGTTTTGGTTATTTGTATTTTAAGAGTCATTCTTGTGAAGATCAATAATATTAAATTTTGAAGCATTCATTTCATTGTAAAGATAATACAATTTTATTTTTACTTCTTAAACAGTATTATTTTACAACCCCCCATATCCTACACAACTTCCTCATAATTTGTTAAACCATTGATAATGATGATGACATGTTTTTTTTTTAAAAATAATAATAAATTTATATAAAAAATTATTATATTATTCATCAAGCACATGAATTAGCAAGGGTTCACGCTGATCATAGGTGCCACTTCCAAATCAGGAAGGTCCTGTATATAGGATTTTCCAAAAAAAAAACGGTTCATCATCATCCTTAAAAACAAAACTTATTTATTATATGATTATTGGCTAAATTTTGGCCCTGCCTATATGACAGAGAATATTATGGGGAAAAGTTCATTTAATATTAACAAGTAGCGCTTAATTGAATATATAACTTGTTCTATCAGATTTAATTATTAAATGGTTTAGCGGGAAAGATGGTAAATGCCAATGATAGAATTTTTTATATAGCAAAAATCAAGGAATTTTTCACGTAGCCCCTCTTATTCTAGCGAAAATTATAAAAAGAAAAACTCTGATTCATTTTATAAGTATCAGTAAAAGAAAAGTAAATGTTTATTTTTAAAAAATTAATATTTTGCGTGAGTTAAATTATAATCCAAATCATATAAAACATTGTAAATTTAGATAAAGATTAAAATTAAAATTTTATCAATAAAAAACATTGACACCCACACATACATACCAACTACATCTATCTATAAAATAAAATTTTAAATTTAATTTTTTTGGAGTATTCATCATGTAGCCGGGTTTTGATGCATTCTAGATTTATGCCGTCTGAGGTCGCCTCCGGTAACAAATTTTTTGGCACATTCAACTACATCACATTCTAAATTTTTTAATCCAAGATGACGTCTTGTATGATCTTGCAATTCAACTTTTTGACCAAATGATTTGGTACATCCTGGATGCTCACACTTAAAACCTTTTATTCCAAAATGTATAGATTTTGTGTGTCTTCGTAAACTGGACTTTTGACTAAATGTTTTGCCACACCCTGGATATTCACAATTGAAATTTTTCATTCCAAGATGTAATCTTTTATGCACTTGTAAATTATATTTACGATGAAATGTTTTTGAGCAACCAGGATATTCACAGTTGAAATTTTTTCCACCATGAATTTTGCTATGTTGGTTAAGTAATCCCCTAGTGCTAAAAATCTTACCACACCTTGACATTGTACAAACAAATTCTTTGTCGTTTTGATCTGTGGTGGTGTCATTACCATCAATAACAATAACGTCATTGTCGTTATTGTCATTGTCGTTGTCGTTGTTGTTGTTGTCGTTGTCATTGTCAGAATTAGCAGTAGGTGTGGCAACAGAAGAAGAAATTGGTGTACTACTGGTAATACTACCGGTGATACTGCTAGTTTCCATTTTAATGATTTGACTTATCATCATTGGATTATCGTCATCGTCATTTTCATCAACATCCTCATTATTATTATCTTTAACATCAATGTAATTAATACCATTGTCATTACCAAGGTCACTTACGACTTTATTGGAATCGTTTTCATTTTGGCCTTCATTATTACAATTGTTGCCATTATCATTACAAATTTCGCCATCATTTTCTTCGTTGCCATTATTGCCATCATGATCACTATACTTTTCTAGGATTTTTTTGATGTTATCAACATCTATTAATATTATATCGACAACAAATAAACAAAATAATAATTAATTGAAATCAATAAGGAAAAAAATTTGATTTAATTTTACATATTTTCTTTTAAAAGAAATATCTACCCTTTAATATGTTTTGGAGGCCATTGTTATTTTTTGTTGAAAATTTTAAATTTAAATTCAAATTTATATTTAAATTTACTTCCATTTTTTTTTATTTCAGGAAAGAAATTTTATTATTATTGATTTTAATTGGTTGAAATTATGAGTGGGGGGTTTTTTTTATCAGACCTTTTAATATTTAGTAATCGGAGCGATAGATTTAAAATGTAAATGTAAATTCACTGTTTGATCAAATATTTTCAAGGCTTTGGAGTATTGGTTTTTTTTGCACTTGTACAAAAATCTGCAAATTAGGGAGCAAACTAATACATTAATATATAGATATTTTTATATTAATTTATTTATATAATCTGCACCTCATTTAAAGGATCCGCGTCCCGTACTGCACTAAATAATAATGATATTTTCACTATGGAAGATTTGTTATCCGAACCGGATAATATTAAAAACATCTTTAATTTCTTTTCTACGTATTCATATGTTCTATGAAATCCATATTAACACTAATTGTATTATTATTAAATAACAGATGGACGGTTTACACTGAAGTAAATATATTATATTAATATAGGTAAAATTTTTACGCCTTGTACACAATTCCTTTGATTTTCCAAGATGCTGAGCATTTCACAAACTTCTAGTGCACAAAAGAGTGGTTAGAGCCTCATATCCTTTCAAGTGATCCTGGAAAACCCATTCGGATTAATAATAGTAACAGCGTTGAAATGAAATCCTCATACAAGATATGAGGTTCATAAATAATAATACGAGCGAGTAGCTAACCCAAAAACTTGTAATATAGGAGAGGAACATCGTAAATTTAATTGTTGGCGAGAAAATAATCCAAACTTTTTTTTTTTAAAAAAAAGGTTAGAATGTTTATCTTTTCAATCAATTCGCAATATTTAATATAGTGATTCGAGTTACACATCAACTTCGGGCAAAAAAAAACAATTAAAAATCTTATCATTATTTTTCTATATTAAGAAATATTCTTTTAAATTTGTTGTGATCGATCGGATATTATTTGTTTTCCCATAAAATTTAAATTTTTCCCAAAAAAATATGGGTGTTCCTAAGAAAGCAAAATTATCAAAGAAAGCAAAAAAAGGTTCTGACGATGACTCATATCAGGAAGAAACAAGTCTACCTAGAAAAAAAACCGCCAACACCAATAATCCAGTTCCAAAACCAAAATTAAAATCAAACCGAAATAAAAATGATAGCGAAGATGATTTTTTATCTGGAGACGATAACAAAAAAAAGGTTAAGAAATTAAAAAAAGATAATAATGACGCGGAAAAAGACGTAAAACCTGAACAAAAAAAACTCTCGTAAATATATCATTATTGTCATTGTATATCTTCTTTAATAGTTGTACCAAAATAAAACAAAAAAAATCGTTTTTTTAATCAGATTTTTTAGAGGACATCTAAATAGACCTGGCCCTTCTGCGCTTGGATCGAAAGAATTACCCGAAGGAGAAGAAAATTGTCTTCAAGTATTTATTTTATTTGATTTAAATGTCTTTTATCGTCATCATCAAAATTTATTATTAATTATTATTATTACTTAAAGGGTAAAACTTTTGTCTTTACTGGGGAGTTATCATCTATCACTAGGGAAAAAGCACAAGATCTTGTGAAACAACATGGAGGGTAATAAATCAAATCATGATAGTGAAAATAATATATATTTATTTATTTATATTTACTATTTTAGATGCGGTTTTTAATGAAAATAAAATATAATTTAGAAGAGTCACAACTTCAATAAGTAAAAAAACTAGCTTTGTTGTCGTTGGAGAAGATGCTGGACCAGCGAAATTAGAAAAGATTAAGACACTCAAGATCCCAACATTAGATGAAGATGGACTTTTCAATCTAATCAGGGAATCGCCTGGAAATCCTGAACCAAGCTATGCCGAAAGTTCTACTAAAGTCAGCAGTAGTAGAAAGGGTAAAGCAGCTGTAAAGTTTGTTCAAGAACCTATTGGACAATCATCATCATCTGAAACAACGTATGTAATAAATACATTCTTATATGTATATCTTATTTGTTTTTAATTAATCTTAAACACATGTACTCTTTTTACAATAAATATACATTTCAGTGATTCGAAGCACCTAATATGGGCTGATAGGTATCGGCCTACCTCTCTCGAGGAATTATGCGGAAATAATACTTCTATAAAAACTTTGAAAACATGGTTGCATGACTGGTATTTTAATAAAAGAATTTTAAATTTATCACAATGATTTGATAATTTCTACATAATTTGAGATTGTTTATTTAATATAATAATAATAATAATAGTTGTTGTTTATATCATTTCAAAATGATATAGGGAAACGAATTTCAAATTAGGTTTTAAATGTAAAACCAATGGTAAATATCCTGCTGTGTTGATATCCGGTCCGCCAGGAATTGGAAAGGTATTTTACTTTTATAGAATAATATTCTTCCTTTCTCAATTTGCGGCAATGTATTTTTATTTTACAAATTATTGAAAATAGACAACTGCTGCTCATCTTGTTGGTAAACATGAAGGCTATGACATTAAAGAATTCAACGCTAGTGACGTTCGCAATAAAAAGACCTTGAATGTATGAAAATATATTTAATTATTATTGTTATCATTATTTTATGATATTAATAATATGGATGGTTTTTTCCTCTATCACTAATTATAAAATTCTAGTTGACTATCAGGATTGCCACCGGCAACATGTCTATTGCTAGTTTTTATAATTCAAATGATACAAATGATGCTACTGTGACTGCTAGCTCATCGTCAAAAAATAAGAAAGGAAAAGCGGTATAATTGAATAATACTCTTGTTTACAATTAATTGCTATTATTATTATTTACAATAATAAATTCATTTTAATTGACAGAAAGAGGAGCCTAAACCACCACATACCAACCGAACTTTAATAATCATGGATGAAGTTGATGGAATGTCATCTGGAGATAGGGGTGGTGCTCAGGAGTTAATTAAAATAATCAAAGAAACAAAAGTATGTTATCATTACATAAATAAATAAATTAAATGAATTAAATAAACTATTAAATAATACTAATTTTTATACTTATAATCGCTTCAATTGAAGGTACCAATAATCTGTATTTGTAATGATAACAAATCACCGAAAATGAAATCTTTTACTAATCTATGCCAGGAAATTAAATTCCAAAGGTAAATAATTAATTCGATCATCTCAATTTGGAAGATTAACATATATCCTTATATTTACATGTATGATTTTTAAAATAGACCACGCGTTGAACAAATACGAGCAAGAATTCTATCGATTGCATCCAAGTATTAAAATTTTTTTTAAATGTTGACGATCTTTATTCTATTTTTTACAATAACTTACTCCACCCAAATAATTGGTTTTTTTTTTGACTCAGTGAAAATTTGAAAATTAATGGTAATGTAGTTGATGAAATCATCAAAGGAACAACCACGGATATACGTCAAGTCATGAATTTATTATCATGTTGGAAACTTTCAGAAGATAGCATTGATTATAATCAAGGAAAACAACTGTATGGATTGGATTGGATTGAATTTATATTTATTTATTACTGATTTTTTTTTAGTTTTTTAATATATCTTTTATTTTATATTACAGAATAAAGAACTCGGAAAAGGATATAGTCTTAAATATTTGGGATGTGGCAGTAAAATTATTGGATCCAGTCACCTGGTCATCTAGAAACGAAGTCTCATTAAATGAGAAGTTGAATCTTTATTTTCATGATCCAGATTTGACACCCTTGATGATACAGGTTTTTTCGGTTTTTTTTTCCAGAGATGGTATATGCGATAAATTAATAAGCAAGATTTTATTGGATTATTAATATATATATATATATATAGGAATGTTATATCAATAAAATTAGTACAGTTGCTAGTAAGGAATTCATTGATAAAAATAAGGATAAGAATGTCGATCCAGAACTTCTTGAAGAATTTGCAGTGATAAATAGTTTAAGCAAGGCTGCTAGCTTCATATCTGAAGGAGATTTAATTGGCGGAATGATACATGGGTAAAAGACATATCAGTGTCTTTTTTCGGCCCATTTCCTCTTCAATTCATCATTTATTTGTTTGTTTGTTTATTTATTTGTCTGTCTGTCTGTCCGTTAGATCCCAACAACGATGGTCCTTGATGCCTTTTCACGGTATGGCATCAACTGTAATACCTAGTTATTATTCTTGTGGTAGAGGTGGTGGTCTTTATCAATTCCCTAGGTAATTTATTTTATTCTTAAATGTGCAAATTAGTTTTTTAAAATTAAATATATACAAAGACATTTATTAAAAATCGATGATGATGATTTTCTGTTTTGTTTTAGTTGGTTAGGACAAAATAGCAAAGCACTGAAACATAAAAAAATATTGAAAAGTATTCAAAGCAAATTAAGATTAAAATGTAATGCCAATAAAGACGAAATTATTCTAGATTATATTCCTGCCTTGCTTACAAAAATATATTACCCTTTAATTGGTGATAATGTGGTATTTACTATTTAATAATTTAATATTATTTGTTTATTTTTTTTTTTTGTTCTATGGCATATGTTCGTTTAGTATTGATATATATTTATTCATTTAGACAAAGGAGGATATTCAAAAAGTGATTGATTGCTTAGATGAATATAATTTAACAAAAGAGGATTGGGAATCCATTATCAGATTGGGTATGAGAAGCCAATTTGATACTGCAATGAAAAAAATTGGCTCGAAGACTAAAACCAATCTCACCAGAAGGCTAGTATTATTACTTTTTTGAAAATTATTTTTTTATAATATATAATCTAGTAGAACTAATAAAAACTTTTGTTATTAAAAAAGATATAATGCTACTCATCAATCTATGATTTCTGTAAAAAAAGAAAAAGAAAGACGCGATTCAAAAGCAACTATATTGCCTTTTTTTGTTGATAAAGAAGATGATGGGAAGATTGAGGGTGATGAGAATGATGAATTTGGTATTGAGGATGAAGAAGAAGCAATAATTGATTTTTAAAAAATTATAGTTGATCATCAAAAAATTATATTTGATTATTAAATTTATAATTTGCACTAACTCATAAGATAAGGAGAATTCATATAGACTTGCAAATTTTAAAATTATATATATATATATATATATAATAAATCTAACACGTTGAACCTGAGTATCGAGATTTATATACAATCTCGTGCCTGTCTCAAAACATTATTGAGTGAATGAAATAGGAGATATCTAAGGCGACCCATTAAAGTTTTGCCATCCCTTAACTTTTGAAAAGTACAGCTTCGATGAATTAGTAACGTTCGCAGTCGCGCACTTATTCATGATCCCCCTCAAGTTGAAACGGTTTTAACGTATTATATTTTGAGTGATTATAGTCGTTATGGGAAAAATTTGTTCATTAAAGAGAAAAATATCACGTCGCCCAGGTAGTATCAAAAGCTTTTGTATCCACAATAAAGCATTTTCTATGATCTGGGAAGTGAGTTGGCGACGGCATAAACTCCAATTCTGTGAGCAAAAAAAAAAAGGGGGCGAGACAACAAATTACCAAAGGAGTTGGCAGCAACCCAGCAGATCGAACTCAGTATTAAATGTGTTAAACCTTTGAGTGCGTCAGATTTTCTCTTGCTTTATATCCAACATGGTATATTACTTCATTTACTTTTTATCTTTAATTGCAAATAGTTAATAATAAATATTCAATTAATTCAGATAATTTAATATTATTAAAGAAAATAAAGACTTTTATTTATCAGATCGTGAAAAAATAAGTGTTAATAGTGGTAGCAATAATGACAATGACAATGATAATGAAAATATTTAATAACGATAAATTGTTAGAGCCAAAGAATAAGTATTTCGGGGAAAGCTTCGGATCTGGTTACTACTGGGTTCTGGATTTTTCAGGGCACTCCCACTACAATCAAGCTTTGTAAACTAGACCGTACCAAGTTTTTAAATAATATTTATTTATTATAACTATTATACAATGGATAGATCTATCTCTAGATCCTGTGACCACAATAGAAAATAAAAATAATTTGAATCTTAGGAATAATGATAAATTTGAAATTTATAAATTAATAAAGAAATCTTAATTATTTGAATTATATATATATATAAGACCTATTAATATTTTCCCTCAATGGTAATTAATAATTAAAAATGAATAATTGATATTGAAATAATTCCCAATTAAGAAATTTGTAAATGCTTGTTAAATCATAACCAAATAATACATTCAAACTAAGGCAGCTGCTTTGGCTTGTGAGCCAAGTAATATCAATGCAGTCAAGACTGCACATATAAAATATATCTTGGAACACTAAACTAAATCGAGCAAACTCATCTGATATAGTTGATCCCATATGCTGAGAATCTATAAAATAAACATTTATTTATATGCTAATTGAATGTAAAAATCTTTTAATGTTATCACTCTCTATCCCCTTAATATATTTTAAATTATCATAAGGATTCCATAAAAGGTATCCAAATATATAATGATTAGTTGCTTTAAGTTTTTTGCTCTTAATTAATTTACCTATTATGTAATTATCTTCTTTACAAGTTTGACATTAGTCATATTTTAGCTTTGTAATAGCTAAGTGAAACTTCGTTTTATTCAAAATCAATAGGGATTGTCAACATTGTCAACATTATCGGCATTATCGACGTTATCAACATTGTCAACATTGTCAACATTATCGACGTTATCAGCATTGTCAACATTGTCAACATTATCGATACTATCAACATTATCGGCATTACCGGCATTACCAACATTACCAACATCATCAATATTGTCGACATTATTAAAGGGCAACCATTCTATAAATCCTCCCATAAAGAAATTGTCTTCCGTATTGTTATTAAAGGATGACCCTTCCATAAAAAAATTGACATCAATATTATCCATATTATCAATATTAAAGAATAATTACTTTGTTGTTCATATGAAGATGGAAGATTTATTATTATTATACAACTAATAATAAAAAATAAATAAAATAGATTCTTTATCTAAAAATTATTATTACAAAGTGAGTGAGTATATTATTTAGAAGAATAAAATATTAATTATAATTTGAATTAGACTTTCTCTTGTTATTTAAATTGTTTGAGGTTACTCAACATTCTCAACGCTTTCCCATGATTAAGTTCTTTGTAGAAGGGTTTATTTGATCTATCTGTTTCCATAGTTAATCACGTTATTTTAAGGAAGGGAAAAGTTGCACAATACAAGTTCTTTGTAGAAGGGTCTCTAAAGATTTCACTTTAAGGAAAAGGAAAGTTGCATAATACAAGCACTATATAGTGAGTGTTCTTCGCAGAAGTGTTTGTTTTTATATCTCTCTTTTTTTCTGATTAAACGTTAATCACATTACGGAAAGAAGTTACATAATACAAGCACCAGGTTCTTTGTAGAAGGGTTTGTTTTGAGAAGGTTTTACTAATTAAAGGAAAAAAAGTTAAATACGTAATACAAGTACTAGGTTCTTTATAGAAGGGTTTGTTTTTTGAGCAAGGATTTATTCTATTTCCTAATTAAAGATCTATTTACACTACTTTAAGGAAAAGAAAAAGTCACATAATACAATAACTAATAGCATTAAGAATTTCACAAGAATTGGAAGCTAGAAGTTAGAATGTAGCTTTCCTTAAAGTATGTGATTAACGATCTTTAATCAGGAAATAGAATAAAATCTCGAGTTCAAAACAAAACCTTTTTTACCTTTCTACAAAGAAACCAGCGATTTGATCGACAAATTCAAGCTCGATTTTAACACTAAATGTGACATAAAGTGACTAACAAAATTAATTGAAAAAGTACTTTAAAATACTCATTAATGTAACACAAACAAATATGCATAAACATTCTTTGGATGCTTTATACTGAAAGTTTTTCCCATCAAGTCCATCAAGTTCAGTTGCAGAGATGAACAAGAAGCAAAGTTTATAGGTTGACGACAGTAAATCTGCATGGAGCTTTCTGAAATTGTCATGATTTTAGGTACCTTTGTTAACGTTTTTATTGTATTTTTATTATTATAATTTACTTTGTTATTATACAATACTACTGATCTTTTACATTGTCAATATTTTATATGAACTGTTGAGATTAATAAATCACATTTCCTTCCCTTACACTTGTGGTAAGCTTATTAACATTATTTAGTTTTTTTTTTTTTTTTAATGTTTTTTATCAACCCTCTTTCATAATATTCTTCACACTGTTAGACATTTCTAAAAGATCATAATAATAATATCTATTATGTTATTACTATATTTACAGGTTAAAACACATAATGAAATGGGATATATATTTATAATGAGATACTCCGCATTTGAATGTAAAGTGTAAAGCCAAATCATACATAGAACGCCATTTTGGCATTACATACCTCGACCTTCGAATTCAAATGCAACGTAAAAAGAAAAACTGATATATCGCTTTTTTTTTGGACCACGAGTGGAGGTAGCGGGTCTATTTATATGTTTTTGTTGTAAATTATTAGACTACTCGATCAATGCACCATCTGACTATGAAATAGTCTATTTTTATTAAAGATTGCATCATTGATCATGAATACACTAAAATGCCTCGCATCCAGTGTTAGGTTTGATGCTCCGAACGAATATATATGTAAGTGACTGAATCATGTGAAAGAACATCATCGCACTATAATATTAATCTGTATTTCACAAAACTCATGTTACGTTTTCGTTTAAAAACCTGTTTTCTTTGCAAAGAGCTGGATGACATGTAACAAACAATTTTTTCGTACAACATTTTCTATAGTTTATTTGATTGACTTAAAGTTTTTCTATAAGTATGTAAATTGAAAAAGCAAAAGTTGCATTATTTAAATAAATAACTTCACCATCACCAAATTCTAGCGATCAATTTATCGTGATTCAACAACCAAAGAATATTAGCATCACACTTATATTTTTTATTATTATATTAATATGATATTATTTATTTTAATGTTAAAGAGTTGTTACATGAATAATAATAAAAATGAGAATTGGTCGTTGTCAAAAGAAACCGACCAAGGCTTTTTTGAAAGTGTAAAAAAGGAACATGATAATTTGCGATTGATTTCCCTTTTGTTGTTGACCAAGTCTTTTTAAAAAACATAGAGATGCTTCGCCGCCGCGAAAAAACAGGATAAATAAAATGTTTTTTAGCATTTTTAGTATAGACAATAATCAATTCAATTGTAGATTAAATATTTAATACTAATCAAAATTATCCAAAGATAATTTGTATATAATAACAAACGATAGATAATCATAATTCAATTGTCGACTAACCAAAAATTGACAAAAGATAACTCGTAAAACGTGTTTTTAGCATGTTTACTTTCTTAAAAAACAAACCAAACCAAAATTTAACTTTTCTGTACCATTTTAATATCAATAGTACGATATCTCCATTATCACTATGTTGTTCAATTACTTTTCGTTCTTCTTTTTCCCCTACATGTTTATCACTTTTAAAGTCTTTAACATAATTACTAATTAGTTTTTGCTCTTCTTCCTCTCCCACATATGTGTCATTTTCAAGATCATCATTATGTTGTTCAATTAATCTTTGCTCTTCTTCCTCTCCTACATATGTGTCATTTTCAAGATCATCATTGCGTTGTTCAATTAATCTTTGCTCTTCTTCCTCTCCTACATATGTGTCATTTTCAAGATCATCATTACGTTGTTCAATTAATTTTTGCTCTTCTTCCTCTCCTACATATGTATCATTTTCAAGATCATCATTATGTTGTTCAATATAATTAATTACTTGTCGTTCTTCTTTCTCGCCTACATATTTATCATTTTCAAAATCATCATTATGTTGTTCAATATAATTAATTACATGTCGTTCTTCTTTCTCGCCTATATATTTATCATTTTCAAAATCATCGTTATGTTGTTCAATATAATTAATTACATGTTGTTCTTCTTTCTCGCCTACATATTTATCATTTTCAAAATCAAAATCATATTCTGGTGGAGTAAGAAGAGGCGCGGGAGGTTGAATAATTGTTGAATCTTCTTTAAAAATTTCTGGTAATTGTGGTGGAGAAGGAGGAATAGGCTGTTCAACAACAATTTCATGATTCCAATTTCCATGCTCATCAGAATAACTGGCTAAGTTAGGATCCAATACCCAATTATGATCGATAACAAATTTATAATAATATCTTTTCTTTGGGATCAAATTTATTTCAACTTCGCCATTTGGCATTGCGATTGGTTTCCATACCGGATATGTGGGGGCATCAAAAGTACCAGCTATTGTGATATCCTTGCCCCAATTTTTCCATGTGAATTTGGTGGGGACGACAATTGATTTGTTTTCTTCGATTGTCATTTTAATTTTTTTTTTTTTTTTTTTTTTTTAGATAGGAAGAAAAAAATTATAATGAAATAAATAAATAATAAATAATAATAGATGACGATAATAAATAAACTGTGCTATTTTTTTTTTAGAAAAAGAAAATATATTTTTTTTGAAATAATAAATTATTATTTTCCGTGCAGTGGTAAAAATTTTGTAAAAAAAAAAAGAGAAATTTATAAATAAATAAATAATTTTTTGAATTAGATTATATGGGAAGGGAAAATTTTTTTTTCTTTGTAAATAGAGTAAAAACTCAATAAAACGTGCAAACAACGGTAATTAATTAATTTATTAATATTATCAATAAAAACAAATATTAAGTTGACAGTTATTAACAATATTAATTGAAAATTTTTTTGTAAATTTCGTTACTAACTAAAACAGGTGTATATATATGCAAGGAACAAATAAAAGCAAAAAAAATTTTTTTTATTTATTTTTAATTTTCCATATCGATAGTGATAGTATGATTTTCGCATTAACTAAAACAACAAAATGTAAGAAAGATGCTTCGCCACCAAAAACGATGGAGACGATAAGTCTTTAAGTGGCAAAATTTGGGTCAAGTCATATGAAAATCATGGATGAAGAAAGGTTCACTCACATACAGTATGTGGTGCGACTATCTATGAATATAGCAAAAAATCAATTATTACAAGTTATATGTTAAAGTTTTTAAAGGTGATATGACATTATAGGTAGCCTTTTAATTGTAATGGTCTTTACATGCAAAAATTAAGGTGGTGGAGATTGTTTTATTTTTTTACATCCAAGTTCACATAATATTTTATTCTGCTTGGGTAATAGTGGTTTATTGTTGGGTTCTGAAATAGGAATATTAAGAATCGACAAAAACGATTATTTGATTTTGATATATAAATTTTTAAATCTATCATATTCTGGAGCATCCTGTACTACCCAGATCATTTCGTATTTATTTGAAGAGGGTCGCGGAATGTTAAGGTTGTGGGAAAATAAGAGACTCTTATTTCACGCATAGAAAATTGTGCGAGTTCTAAGGTTTGTGGAAATGCGATAATATCCAAAGAAGATGAGAATGTGGATGAGAGAAGTTGGAATGATCCTCGAAGAGACAGACATCGTTATGAGTCGAGTTTGGGTAATTACATTTAATCGAGCGAAAAATCGGAAAAAAAAATATAAAAGGAAAACTTATTATTATCCAAGTGATTTTTTCACGCCTCCTCATTGTTAAATTGAAATATTAATACATTATTTTTACTTTTTATTGTAGGATATTGCACGAATGTCCAAAATCTAACATCAGGGAAGTACGAGTTCATTTATCTAGACCAAATATTTGCTGATTTTGATTAGAAACAACTTCTTTTGATCAATATCATCCATCGGCAATGAACCACATAAAAGATTTCATTTTTATTATATTTTGGATCACTCAATATGACTAAAATTGGATGACTTGATCAAAAACATCCACAGTAAAATTTTTTATTTATTTGCTTTTTTACATAATATCATTAAATGTGTAATATTTCAGGCTATTTGATTTGGTGGAAATTGGGTCTACATGTCTTGAAAGAACTTCATTGGATCTCAAAAGATCACATAAAGATTTTTCACAATAAAAAACTCAAATAATTGACCCAGGCCTGGGTTTTTGGACCTGATAATGTAGTTTTGGAAATAGTCGGGGTAGGTGAGCTTTTTGAAAAGCTCGTGTTTTGGTCCGTCAAAGTATTTATCTATCGCTCACCTCGGCAAGGAGTGATCCACGTCTTCATCGCTCCTCACGTCACTTTCAATATCCATTTCCTTGTTTAGCAAGTGCATCGGCTTCACAGATTTTAGACAGTACTCGGAGGAAAGTAGTGTACTGAGACGGAACATCTGGTTATTGGGTGCTGGAGCAAAAGTATCGTCAATTCCATTGCACTCAACCTTCTCGCTACGATATGTTTTCGGTATTCGTCAGTTTCATTGATGTTGAACAATTGGGTTTGCTCGACTTTCGTAATGTATTTCGTGAACATCACATATCGAAAATTTATGTAGCCATTCCATATCAGCAGCGTCTTGGGATGATATGGGACGGCCATCCTGTCTTCTTGCTTTACGCGACGATAGACGAATCTTAACAGGTTGAGCGAGCAATAGATTTTGTCAGATAATGACCGAGGGAACCCTTTGGATCATGGTTCTCCATCAATTTGATGGTTACAATGGTGTAATTTAATACTTCACGACCAAATCGTACAACTTTTTTCCATGGCGGGGTCAGGAACGTCTGCATGTATCGCGTAAATCCCTTTTTTTGTGTAGGTAAAACAGTGCGTGTGAACCGTTCCACGGTTTCTAAATTCGTCACGTTCAAAGAAATGCTTCCGCTTGCCCTAATTCGTTATCCCAGGGTCCTTCCACTGGCCATTTGTTAGCCTATTTCGGTAGTGCAGGTAGACGTGTAATGGACGATTTAAAAAAACGGGAGGCTATCAGGTGTCTCTGGAAGTAAAAAAGTTTTATGAATGATTTTGGAATGAAATAAAAATAAATCCATTCATCGAAATCAATTTTTTACTCACAAAAAATGGAACGTTTGCAAATTTAACATCTCTTGAAAATAGAAAATCCCTTCCCCAAAAATCGAGTTTAATAAAATATTAGTTTTCAACATCTTTCAACTCAACATCAACATGCCATGTTGACTTCTCTTTTCCCTTCTTGGCATGATCAATAGACCATATTATACAACACAACTATTGTGAAACCTCTTTACAGATAAATTTTGTCACGTAAATCATTATTTTAACAGAATTTTATATTTTTTTAATATATAGTAGCCCAAAAATCATACAACAAAATTATTGTTACTATTAAAAATGGGAACTGTAATTAGTTCCAACTAGTCGCAATTAATTGAGGAGCCATCTTTAATCGCTATTAAATATAAATATCAACAACTAATTTCATTTCTCAAGGTATTTAATATCACAACTATAGTAGCCAAATAAGAAAATAATAAATAATTTTTAAGATTTAACTTATTAATTCGTCCGGTATAATTAATTCAATCTGTTGAGAATCTAAAAAATGTTTATCACAAGAGTGGATGTTAATAAATATTGTTAATTTTAAAAATTAATAACAATGAAAATAATCAATAATTAAATGTTAATAATTACCATGATTACTGATAATTGTCACTTTGTTGGAATTCACAGGTTGGGGAAGGCTAGGAAATTTTAATAACCTGCTAGTATAAACAGCATTTGGATGAATTGTTGCAGTAATTGTTGAAGGATCATATTTTATTTTATCCGTTTTACAAAACTTTCTAATTAATTTTGGAAAAACCCACCAACCATAAGAAAGTGCACACTCATAATCTTAAAAAGTTCTTTAGCGGTTGGACATTTATCTGGATTAGCATCCATGCATCTGAATGCTAGTTCATTATAGGATTTTTACGTATTGTTTAAAAATCCAGGTCTTACACTTTCACATATTTTCATTGCAAGGTCTATACCATGTGCCAAGTTATTAAACGGTTGTTGTTCAGTTGACACTACAGACATCAGAACTCCAAAACTATATATATCTGATGCTGTTGTATATGATTTCCTCCTTAAAACTTCTGGTGCAACATACGGTAGCACCCAAATATATTTTTGTCTGATGCAGATGTTTGACTAGCTGGGCATGATAATCCCAAGTCTGCAATCCATATATTATTTACATTATAAGAACTAAGAATATTACCATTATGAAGATCATGATGAACAAATCCTTTATGATGAATATTTTTTAATCCATCACTAATGAATTTAAGAATCCTCCCATTTTAAATTTTAAAATCTCAAGTTAAATAATTTTGAAGATTTCCATCTGCCATATATAACATTACAAATATATATTCTTTTGTAATTGGATTTTGTGTTAATCCAAAATACCAGCTATAAATCCTCTACCACAAAGCTTCATATGATTTTTGAGCTAAAACAACAAATAAAATATTTAATTACAACAATAATAATCAAAAAATCTGAAACTAATATTAATAAAATAGTTCACCTCATTAAGAAATTCATCAGAAATATTTTGTGAATTATGTGGTTTTTTTAATGCTACAGGCATATTTTTGCTGATTCTTTTATTTCCATCAGTATATTTATTACCATTTAACCAAGTAGCTTTGTATATAGTTGCAAAACCACATTCACCTATCTTTTCAATATTTATTAAATCATTATAAGGAATTCATCTAATGTCTCATTGCCACTAGTCCATCCTTCAGCCAATAGTTTTAGTTCACATGATTGACACCATGTCCTACTGGTATTATATCTATTGCAGATTGGACATTCCCCATGCTTCCATTTTCTCTTCTCTGAGTATTTATCATTTTCATCTTCCATGTGATGCATTACAAGGGTATATTCTTTTGTAATTGGATCTTGTGCTAATCCATAAATTCTAATTTATAAAACACCACATAATTTTTGAACTAAAAAATATATATTAAAATTTAGAATAATACTTAAAATCTGAAAAATAAAATAATTTACCTCATTAAGAAATTCATCAGAAATATTCTGTGAATTATGTAATTTTCTTAATATCACATGCATATTATGACTACATCTCCTCTTATCAATACGTTTTATATCTTTATAACCATTTAACCAAATAGCTTTGTATATAGTTGCAAAACCACCTTCATCTATCTTTTCAATATCTGTTAAATCATTATAAGGAATCCATTGAAAATAAAATTGATGATTATATTCTTTTGCTTCGAGTTGTGTACTTTTAATCAACTCATCTAATGTTTCATTGCCAGTAGTCCATCCTTCAGCTAATAGTTTTGGATCACATGATTGACACCATGAATAATTAGTATTATATCTATTGCAGGTTGGACATTCCCCATAGCTTTTATTCCTTTTCTTTGAATATTCATCATTTTTGTCAGTAGAAGTATCATCAGGGTGTTTTTTTTCTTTTTTTTCATTCAAAACATTTTCCATTTTTAAAAGTTTAATTGTGTTTTTATAACTACATTTGCATATAATTGTATATCACAAAATAGTCTTTTATCATCAGTTTCTGGTGCAAAACCAAGAGATTTTTCGTGTGGAAGAGTATTTACAATGAAATTATCCTTGTTTTTTTTTGCAAGTCTAGCTATTTTTAATTGAGAATTTATTTTTTTATTTTTTGACACGATACATGAAACCAAATTTAGTAGTACTATGTAAAATACGTAAAAAAGAATAGAACTCGGCAACCAATCAATATTTTAAAAAAATATCAACAGGAACGGACTTCTATTCTTTTAAAAATCACGTGCAAGAATGGTGGTGGTATAGACCTCGCGCACCATATTATTTAAATTTTTGATTTAATACTGATATGATTCTACTGCCATCTATTTATTTGCAAATTCAGAGAGGCTGGAAATTTTGTGCTTGAGAAATTGAAAGGTAGTTTAATAATGAAAATTTATGTTCTCATGAATATGTAATGTGTGCGTTAATTTAGAACATTATATATAAAGACATATTACGAAAGCGGAGATTAATTTATTGTTTAAAAAAATAATAATAATGTAAATTTTTTAAAGAAAAAAATAATAAAGAGCCATCTTTCGTATAGGTGGCATGTGTATAGACAGATATTATAAGACTTCCCAAACTCTGATCTTGCTGTCTTTAATTACCAAAAAGAACATATATTGATAAATAATAATAAAAATAATAATAATAATACAAGACCAAGCAATTAATTATACCTGTATATCCAGCGAATAGTGTAGTGCCATCAGGTGACCAAGCCAAAGAGATACACTCGGGATCTTTCGAGTTTCTACCAGTTTCCGTAAAATCAGGCTTTAAATCATCAATAACTTTTTTAGTTTCAAGGTCCCAAATCTTAATACTAGACGTGGTAGCAGCACATAACCAATATCTATTTGGACTGAACACTAGAGCATTTATGATGATATCATTTGCTTCTAATGAATACAAATGTTTCCCTTCATTCAAATCCCATAACATCGTGATACCATCTTTTCCGCCAGATGCACAAAGCGACCCATCTGGTGAAATGGTAACAGTGTTAATATATCCAGAGTGTCCATGATGATTAGTTTTAAGCCTGCATTTACCGCCACTAAATTCCCATACCTATATGTAAATATTAATGTATGTATATTTATATTTGTATTTGTATTTATATAAGTTTTTGTTAATTCTTCAAAATAATAAATATATATTTGTAAACAAATATGTGTTTGACTCAGATCTGGTTAAATTTTTTCTTTGAA